CAGAGCTCGGCCCAGGCCATGTACGCCCCCGGCACCGGCGCCAGCGTCTATGCTGGACCGGGCGCGCCCTCGGACCGCGTCAGCATCCACCGCACGCCGTCGCAGCGCACCGTGGCGACGCAGCGCTCGATCCCGCTCTCGGCGTCGGCTTCGAACGCGGCCCTCAACGCCTACAGCAACCCCAAGTCGGACCACTCACAAGAGGCGCCCGCCGCCGTCCAGGCCCAGGATGGCGGCGCGGCGGCTGTCGCAGCGCTCCACCGCGAGCCGCAGGTGACCGCGCAGGCAGATGCACCCGTCAAGGCCGCCGGAACCGCCACCGGGAACGGCGATGCTGCCACCGAGGCTTTGCCGGCGACTCAGGCCCCCACCGAGGCTGCAGAGCCGGCAGCCACGGCGACGGCGATGGCGGCGTCGACCAAGCCACTGCCGTCACCGTCGGCCGACCTGCTCGAGGCGCAGGCGGCGCACCTAGCGGCGACCGAGCACGACGTCCCCTCTGCCCTCGCCAAGCCCCGGGCGGACCCGCTAGACGCCGCGGCCGACGACAGCGCCGACGGCGACAAGCTGCTCCTGCCTGGCGGGCCTGCCATCTCGCCGTAGCCTCCCTGGAACTGGAGGACGCGTCGCGGCTTGCACGTCCTGCTTGCTGGGCAGCCCACGGCCCCATCTGTCCCCCCCGTCTTGCTCACCGCCCGCTGCCTCGCTCATTTGTCGTAACCCTTGCTCGCTCGTCGGCGATCCTTGTCCATCGTTACACGGCTGCTGCTACAGCCGCTGCTGCTGCTTTCTCGTCCCGTCGGCCGATGCGAGCGGCAGACCGTGTCTGCCGCCGTTGTTTCTGGCTCTTGACCACTTGCAATTCTCCAGGTTGAAGCGAGGCGAGGCGGGGCGGGGCGATTCGATTGAAGCCCCCCGTCGTCGGTTCCGCTCTTGCGCATCAGAAGTAGAGGCTTGCCTGTTCGATGCGAGCGGCGCGTAGAGTCAGGTGGGGGAAAAGGAGGGGGTGAGGGGAGGGAAGATAATCAGCCGAGGGGGTTAGCAGGGTGGGGGACGGCATGTCGCTGCTGAGCGCGTTGGGGGCGAGAGTGGACGTGGACGTGACGACGTACGGCAAAGACGATGTCGCGACGAATGAGGGCCTGGCAGGTTTCCATCTTGGTGAAGAGGTCGGCGTCGCCAATGACGCGCGCGGCGTCGCGCACCTCTCTGCACGTCTCGTCGAGCCGGGTAATGACGCGCACAATGGTGCCTTCCTGGACGTCGGTGAGGTCCGTGATCTTGTCAAATGCCTGTCGATCCCCTCCGTTGCAAAGTGATCCCCACGATCGTCTGTGTCAGTTCTCAAGGATGGCCACGACAAGGAGGAGAAAGCGGGGTGCTTACGGTTCCACGCGCCCATTCGTAGACGACTTGGACCAGTCCGAGTTTCTGCGGGTTGGCGAAATCTTCAAAGTTGAGCTGGTTGAGCGCCTGCACTGCATTGACTCGGTCGGCGATTTCGACAATGGTTGCGTAGCCCTGCTCGTGTCGACGGAACGGAGGAGAGCAGAGGGAGGGGGGTGGAGAGGGAGGAAGAGAGGGACCGGGAGGAAGTCCGAGCAAAGACAAGGAAGTGGGCGGAGAAGGAAACAAGTGAGTGTCAGACCCTCGCCTCGCGACACATCGGAAGGGATAGGGGAAGAGGGCAGAGCCAGCTCGCACGCGACGTACCTCTGACAACCTCTCGGACAGTTCGGGGACGACCGACGTCTTTTCCTGAAACAGGAAGATGCTGAGGAGCGCCACGGTTTCCTCGGGTGTGTAGCGGACCAGGGCGTTTTCGAGGATGAGTTCGGTGAGGACGAGCTCGTTTGCCGAGTTGATTTCGCACGCCACGCGCCCCTTGAGCAGCACGCTCTCGGACGTGGGCTCGATGAAGCGCAGCGCCTTGAGCACCTCGATGCGCTGGTGGTAGTCTGGCAGCAGCTCGAGGTTCTGGTTCGACTGCTTGAGCAGCAGCTGGCTCAGCTCCGCCTCGAGCTGCTTGCGCGTGTGCGTCTGCGCATACTGTGGTTTCGTTGACGACGTCCAACGCGCGATGGGCCGGTGCAGAGAATCTGGGGTCAGAATGCGGTGCGACAGGACGAGGACACAGCCGTCTAGGCACGCGTATTGCACTGCGCTGCGCTGCAATCGTCCACCACGACTCACATGCTTGAGGAACGCATCGTCGTCGACGAGTCCAAAGTGGGGCTTCAGCCGACCGACGTAGCTGTCGCGCGACCGCAGCGCCTCCTGGAAGTCGAGACGCCGGATCTTGGACCAGTCGACTTCGGGCGGCACCGCGCCCGTGTCGAGGGCGGCGTAGGCGTCGCGCAGGGGCAGCAGCGCCTCGACGGCCTTGGTCATGGCCGAGATGCGGTGCGCCATAATCAGCGGCACGTCAATCTACACAGCCAGAAAGAGGGTGAAGGCGGGCGTAGGTGTGTGTGTCGGAGAGAGAGAGAGAGACGAGTGTCAGCCGAGTTTGGGCCCTTCCGCCCCTGGGCACGACGGGCTTGGCGACCCCCCGAGCGACTTGCCTTGATGGTCGAGTTACACAGGAACACGATGCTCGACAGCGGCACCTCGCGCAGGTCGTAGACCGTCTCCTCGGCCTCGCAACGCTCGACGCGGGGCGGCCAGAGCGGCGCAACCGTGCCGACGGAATCTGTGTGGTGTGTCGTGATGAGCGTCAGGGCGTGTCAGCATCGGCCTTGGAACCCCGCCCCTCGCACTGTCGACGCGACCCCACGCTCGCAACGGCTCACGTACCGGATTCGCCCCGCTTCGTCTCCTTGGACACGGCGGCGAGGACGAGGAACTCGCGCGACGCCACCTGGCGCACGATGACGCCGACGTGGTGGTCAAAGTGCTGATACGCTCCAGCGTAAGAGGTGACGGTGCAAAGCAGATCGCCGTCAGTCCCAGCCTCACTGTGCGTCGGCGCCATTGTCGCCGCCACCTGCCTGCGCCACAACTTACACTGTCTCGCAACAGCACGACGCGGCCGGCGGCAAAGTTCTTGCTTCCCTGCGGGTTGTCGAGGGCGAGCTCGCACATGCCCTGGTGCGAGCTGTCGATGGCGTTGCACAGGTCGTAGTAGACGCTCAGCTCCTCGGCCAGCTCCTTTGGCTGCACCTGCGGCAGCTTCGACAGCTTCCTCTCCACCTGCATCACGGCACGCATCAAAAGGCATTGGCGGATAAGTCAGCGCGACGTCAGCTGCTCTGAGCCCGAAAAAGCCGGCGACCGTTGACGGACGGCGGACGGCGGACGCACCTCTTCGGCCTTTCTCTGCTGGTCGGGCAGCATCTTCTGTGCGGCGTTTTCGGAAAAGGAGCGCTTGATCATCTCTTCGACCTTGAGCGTCTCGACGCGCAGCAGGTTGAGGATCATGTTGTACGTCAGGCGGAACTGCGACTGCAGCTTGGTCGGCTGCCCCAGCAGCATCTTGTGCAGCGTCGCGCTCTGCTCGCACAACGATCGGAAGGGGATGCGGGTTGAGTGTCAGCTGATGTCGGAGACCGGGTGCCGACGCGGCTCGAGTGCGCAGCCGCCTCACCTCGGGAAGCCCGTCAGATGCGTTGATGATGACCACCCCGGTCGGGTCGAGACCTCGTCGTCCGGCTCGACCCGACATTTGGGTGTACTGTCGGTGAGAGTGGCATAGGGAAGGGAGGGAGAAGTCAGCATGGTGGCGCTCGAGACGAGTTTGAATCGCCGCGTGCCTGTCGCTCACCTCGCCGGCCAGCAGATCCCTGAACCCTTGGCCGTCGTGCTTGCGGATCCCCGAGAATACGACGGACCGAGCGGGCATATTGACGCCCTGCACAGCGATGCGACACGAGCCCAGGTCAGCGATTATCGCGCAGAAGGGCAGCGGAAGATCGACGCGCCAACACGCACCATGGCGAACGTCTCTGTCGCGAAGAGGACCTTGACGAGTCCGCGCTGGAAGAGGATCTCGACGATCTGAGAGCAGAGTCCGAGGCGAGGGGCGTTGCGTCAGCGAAGACCGGAGCCAGCGCCACGTGAGCGGTTCCACCCACCTCTTTGACGATCGGCAGCAGGCCTCCGTGGTGCACGCCGATGCCTCTGCCCAGCAGGTCCCGCATCCTCTTGATCTGAGGAAGCTCCTTGTCTGATCCTGGTCGGGCGACGCGGCGCGAGGCAAGGCGAGGCGAGGCGATGCGGTGCAAAGAGAGACGGGCAGCAGCGTCAGCTTGGCGGCCGAAATCCTCGGCGACCATGCGTCTCCGGACCCAACCCACCTTTGAGCCTGGTGAGGCTCTTTTCGATGACGATAAAGACCTCGTTTTTCTCCCTGGCGTTGCAGAGGTCGGTGTTGGGCATGCTGCCGGCGTTCTCCTCGCATCTCTTTTTGGAAAAGACAAAGACGACGCAGGGCAGGAGATCCTTTTTGCGCAGCAGGCCGACGAGGTGGATCCAGAGGTTC